TTCCGGATATCTCATTGGTTGACTTAAAAACCTACGCGTGATAGAGCTGTAAGCGAGATATTTTTGCTAGCCCCGCGAAATGTCCCGCGTACTTTGTCGAGTGCATAGCTTTCGGCGGGATTATTTCGGCTAGAAATCCATCCATTTAAATAAATATTGAGAGAAACTTGTTTCTTAAAAAAATTGCCTTCTAGCATCGCGGCTGCTAGATCTGATTTTCCCTTAAAATGTTGCATAAAACGTCTGAAATGTGTAGCTTTCCTTTAAGCTATGTTGGTTGTAAATTCGTGTAAATAGAATATATGAATAGAACAATAAATATATTGCAAATACTCTTAATATAAAACGGTATTTTCTCCACACCATAGCACTATATTGCAACACACCAATGCAATTTGATTGTGGCTGAATTTTATAAAAACAGTTGAAGATATTATTAGGTGTATTTTGAAGCAGGAATTGAGAGCATTAACTGTGCTTTTGTGGTTCATTGAATACATCTTCCAGTTCTGTTATGAATGTGCTAACCAATATAACGCAAAGATGAACTGTCTTTACATGCATATCCGCCTTATTAGTACAGAGTCCACTTTAGTCGAAGACGTCAAATTTTCAGAAACAAAGGATGGCAACTATGCATATAATTCTTCAGGTAATTAAGCTCATAGTGTAACTTCAGTTTTAACGCCGGCCAGATGGGAAAGTGGTTAGTGACTCTGACTGCAGTATGGAAGGACCAGAGTTCAAAACCTGGAGAAGGCACTGATGTAAATTTTCTGTCAGTTCATAGAAGGTAAGGGTATCCCTACCTATTAGTTGCCTTCATAATAAAGTGACCACTGCTTACGGCCTTAGTGGTGCCTACAATGGATAGGGCCCACCGTTGGATGGGAAAGACTAGATTCGTAGAACTGATGGTTCACAGAAACTCATAGAAACTCGTAGGATTCATGGTTCCAGTTAATTAAATGTACTAAATACTTTAATAAAAGCATAAGAACCTCGAATTTTGTACAAAAGGTTTTTGTTCAAAGGGCAACTAATAATTTCATGTTCCATAGCTAGATATGTGTAATGTAATGTACTATACGAGCGTGCTGCAACCCTTCTGCCCGATAATAATCGGCTTCATGGTTACACATTGACTGACAGTTTTAAACTAAATATTTTACAAATTTAGTGAATTCGAAGCAAAAGTATATTCTCATAGGATTACAATTTTCGGAGAAATTGCTGAAATTTTGGAAAGATCTTACATGCATACTGCTAAATGCTATGGAAATTAATTTCTTGAATGCAGATATATCAAACATGATTTTGATATCGGAAAACCATTAATCGAGAAACATCGGTTACTTTTGTAAAAATATTAAAACTCGAAATTATATATTTAATGCAGTTTCTTACAAATCTTAAAATTGATAATTTTCAGTCCCTTTTTGGATGGATAAATGTGGTCTAAGTCACAGAACATTCGACAAATGTTTTCGAGACTAATCTGGCAATTACAAATCCTCTCTTCAAAGAAACCCGTGAGACAATCTGTATAATACAGAACGCTTTTCTTATTGATACATCATACTGATATTTGGATATACGTCTGTGCTTGTGTACTAAATACCCTTATATACTGTATTTGTTGAATGATCTAAATGATTGTTCAATGATGACTTTGATACTTATACTAAATTGTTGTAACGAAAGATACCTTTAAGACGTATTTGACGGCGTTGCAAGTAGTTATCAGACTCCGAGATTGGTCGCATCGTAGGACTAAAAGAGGCCAGTTGGTTAAATAGGCGGATCGGCCTACGTATTGGTCGAAAGGATATAGTCGTTGTCCTTTGCTGAAACCACTGGCTCAGCGAAGGCATAGACATCCGATATAGTGGCTGGGACATTCCCGAGCCACCAATGCGCGAGATGATCCCGCAACTAATAGAATTACCAAGTCTGCACCAACAGCTATGCTATCATCGATTCAACTCCATTTGAAAACTGAAGGATGTCGGGATATCCAAGAATGCAATTCGCAGAAGACTAAATGACGCTGGACTCAGATCTCGACGTCCATTAAGACTTTTGCCATTGACGCTTCACTATAAGCAGTGGTGCTGGTATAGGCAGTTGTCCCCAGTCTTGCATGGTGCTGGTTTTGCTCAATCGAACACAGGGAATGGCATTCTAGGAAGCCATCAGCTGGATCACTCGTGCACCATTAGTCTTGTTGCGAAGTACTCTGACTACTTATAGGTACCTTGACGACATTTTGCAGCTTGTCGTACTGCCTATGTTAGCCGATTGTCCAGGTTCTGTTTTCCAGCTGGATAGCGCTCGGCCACATACAGTACAACCTTTTCAAAAATGTATTCGACATGGTAATGTAATTGATTGGCTTGCCAGATTTCTAGATCTGTTTCCTATTGAATACATTTGGGGCATGTTGAGCAGGCAAATTCAGCAGTGTACAAATACGTCCCAACTTGCTGATCAGTTGCTTAATTTGTGGCACAATCTACCGGAGAGGACACTGGCAGCTTAATAGACTCCATGCCCAAGCGAATTTTGCCTTGTATAGCTGCCAAGGATGGCTTTACCACCTACTGATTTTCACATTCTTTGCGTTGCTTGCTTATAAAAAAACGCTTTTTTGGCCCAATTTTGTATCTTTTGTTTATCTACACGAACACCATACTACTGTTTCGTAGTTGTAGCCTTTTTCTGGGTGCATATATTTTTTGAAGCAGAGTATGCATCGGTGTGTGTATGTTTCTTTTTTATATAATTGTTATATATATATTTATTGTTATGATTATTATACAGTTTGAACTGTTTAATATGTTTTTATACCGCTAATTAAAATAAAGTTTTGTTTTTAACAATTGAGCGCCTTTTCTATGTTTTTCTTTCCTTATTAATTTATACGAATCGTTTTATGTATTTTAGGCCATTAAATGAAAAATATACATATAATTTTCTTAAATATAAATTTTAAGACTTCATATTGAGTTGTAACAATTTAGTTTTGCTACACATTGCTGAGCTATGAAATTTTAAAGTTACTTAAATTTTTCGGGTTATATAACAATAAAAAATTTATCTAAAAGTAAGGAATAAATTTATTTCATTTCTGCTTTTTATTCTGAATAATGTTTTCAGGAAAATACCTTTAAATGATCTTTAAAATATTTTTAATTTGGCAGAGAAAATTAAAAATATATCCTTTTTATAATTAATTGTAAGTAAATGAAGAACTATTTTATGCATTTTATTCTAGCTAATCTTAACATTTCTGTAGATAATTTAAGTTTTCTGCAAATATTTTTTGTTTTTGGGTATATTTAATGTTACATGATATTTAAATTCCATTCTTACGCAAACTTTAATTTTGGAATTGTATGCACGAGAACTTATTTAATTCCTTTAGTTTTAAGCAGTCTTAGTCAACTCTTCGCCGTTAATTTAAGGATAATACTAAAGTTTCGTTTCTTTTTTTCAGTGCAAACCTTAAATTAAGCAGCTAGTTAAAATTCATGCATTTAGTATTTCATTCTAAAGATAAGTTCTGCATTATTATCGCAAACTGCATAAAAGATTGGCACAATAAGTACTTCGTTATTTTAAAACAATGCAATTAAATATTGACTGGAATGCCAGAATTGTTTCTTCTTAGTCAAAAACTTAACAAGTTGCTGTTTAACTATTACTTAGATAAACCTTTAACAAATAAGACATCTGTTATATTGCTTAGCATAATGTTGTTGTTCCATCAGACTTTCATTAAGCTCGAAACCAAAAAGAAGTTCCAAGAGAGTTATATTAATAAATGTAGTAAAATTGCCTAATAAAATCTTTTAGTCATAAGGTCAGACTGCACTGTAACATGAAGACTAATCGTTATTTGAAATATTTTAAAATACATTATAAAATATGCTGCAAAAACAAGGTCTTTTCATCAAGCAATCAAGCAGCATAAAACAGCTGCATTTTAGTTCTTACCCAAAAAAGGTTGACTCGATTCTTTATGAGTTAGATTGTTAGTCTAAGGTGGTATATCACTAAGATTTAGATAAAAAATTTCTAAATATAAATTTTTGAAATTTTGGACCGACATGTTGTCAATAAACGCTTAGATACAGTTTTTATTATTCTAAATTAGTTAGATACGTATAAATTCAGATGTTAATTGACGAAACCGTTAGGAGGTTGTTTTTTTTTTTTTACGTTGGTTGCAGTTAAAACATTAAGAAAACGGTTTTATGGATATGTTTGTTAAATTAGAACTTTATGCAAAATACTAAAATTTTGAAATAGCATAAAATAATGAAAATACAAAATGCAAAATGATATTAATTATTGTAAAATGTCGCAATTATTCTTAAAAATACTAATATTGAAATTTCAATATAGTAATATTCATATATATAAAAAGTCATATATATAAAATTCATATATTAAAATTCATATATATAAAATTCATATATAGTAATATTTAATTTAAAATATTACTATATTGAAAACAAATCACAGTATTACAAACTAAAAGGTATTTAAAAAGGGCAATGCTAAACGGTTTTCCAATTTAAGCATTAATGAAACTGATTTCAATAAACAATTAATCATAATCTATGTTGAAGTTAAATGCCTAATGGACTGGTAAGTACTTACTGCCGCTGGTCAAACCTGTTTATAAGTTTACTTGCTTTAAACTTTTATAAGGTTTTACTGCATTACTTGCAAATAATTTGTTTCTAATGTACTTTTTTTTATAAATGACATTCTCGGTATGAACATAAAGAAAATATTCGCTTAAAACTCAGTTTTAGGTAAAATTTTTAAAACTTAATTTATAGGCTAATCTAATTTCAAATCGAGTGATAGATTTGAAATTTACTGAACCTGGTATCTTTCTGATAAATATGTCAGCCTTATTAATTAAAAAAGTTATTTTTTGAATCAGATTTACAGACATCACACAGTAATCATAATTTAAATCTGGAATGCTTAAAATTGGTATATCATGTAGAACTCTCACTTTACCCGTTTCATTGAAGATGAAATCAAATCAACCATTTTTTTTTCTTTCAGGTTATGGAAATATTGCACCAAGGACTAACTGGGGGAAAATCGCTACTATAATCTACGCTATCTTCGGCATACCACTCATGTTGCTGTATCTTACCAATATCGGTGATATCTTGGCCAAGTCCTTTCGGTATGTGTATGGGCGAATCTGCAGTTGCGGTTCTAGCGATCCTTACAAAAGAAGACGACATAACAATCACCACCATCATCCGGCCGAAAATTACAGAGTCCATCACATCGTAGCCCATAATTCTCCAAACAGGAATCACCCAAATTCAGAACCTGGTGTCCAGGATAAACTTCATATGCCGACTGAAGACGAAGTGAGAATAGAAAATCTGCCAGATCTTGATCTGGATCTGGAATACGAAAAGCCCAGAGTATCTGTACCTATTACTTTGTGCTTATTGATACTTGTCGGATATATCTCCGGCGGAGCGGTGCTGTTTTCTTTGTGGGAGGGATGGGGATTTCTGGACGGCTCTTACTTCTGTTTCGTTACCCTCAGTACCATCGGTTTTGGGGACCTAGTGCCTGGAGATTCAGTGGTATCGGATGAAGGGTCGCAAGAGAAACTTGTAATTTGCTCGCTATATCTTCTTGTCGGCATGGCCTTGATAGCAATGTGCTTCAATTTGATGCAAGAAGAAGTTATACACAAAGTCCGAAACTGCGGCAGGAGGATTGGCATTATTAAAGATCAAGAAGAAGAGGATGACATGGGCTGACAATGCACTGAAGCTGAGAACGGTTTAAAGTACAGCGACATGGATCTTTTTTGCTAAGACCAGACTTCAATACTTCAAGACACATGATGCCAGTAGACGGACGTCAATGTGCTGGTTTTAAAACTGTTCTCCGCTTCAGATATGTGACAGAATAAACAATCTAATGGAAACATTGCTAAAACTTCGAAGACACTTTTAACAAATTCTTAAAAAAATATATAACATGTCACGAAATGATCAAACATTTTTGAACAAATTGTGAAAGATCTTCAAGAAGTTTCATACAAAGGAAAATTAACTGTTTTTTTTTCTACATTAGATGACAAGTTTTTATATAATTTCGGTAGATATTCACCTGAACAGGATTGTTATCTATAACTATTTGTACTATGTTTGTTGCACAGAAATGATGTTTAAACGTTATGAGATTAGTAAAGAAATATGGAATTACACTTTAAAATGAAGTCGTGAATTTAAGGGTAATTGTCAGTAATCAAATGACAGTTAACATGAAAGAAACACATTACACATCTCTTATTTACTTCCTTAACGGTATTTGAAATTAAAGGTAAAAAGGAATTCAATATTATTAATTATTTTATGTTCAAAATAAGTATTTAACGGCAAAATGTCAATAAATTTATTTCTGTAAATTACGATTCATTTATTTGCTTGCAGCATAATATATTTCAATTCAGAGTAACAGTAGAGGAAACATTTATTGAAACGATTCATGATAACGGCGCTTTTAATTTTGCAAGTGATCAAACCGATTAGCAGAAACTCCGAAACTTATTGCCTACATTTAAACAGCGATAGTAAAAGATTTTTGCAACAATTATGGATAATATAGGACAGTTATACACCTTTTGTTAGCTGTATAAACAGTACAGACGTTACTAATATTTTAAGAAACATTTATCTTATATTTAATTATCTGTTTACTGATAACCTATACACTGATCCTCTATACCCTAATAACCAATGTGGTACTTACTATGAAATCAAAGATTTTATTCATTGTAAGATGGCAATAACAACCGAACTGGCTATCTGAGAAGTGTGTGCTGTAGGATAAAAAGAATAATAAACTATAAGTGATTTTTAGGGTAGCTATCAGATAAATATAAAGAAAAATGTTTCTAATCTCAAAACAGCTTACACTAAAATTATAAACTTTTAAACAAGAACTTTTTATACCAAATAAACAAAGAAAGTTGACATGCATAAAAAGGAAACAGGGAATGTGTTTTTAATTAAACATATGAAATTGATCATTTTATCGTCTTTAAGTTTATGGGGAATCCAGTATGTTGCAAGCAATTAAAATACTATTCACTTAGAATTATTTGTGTGTTTTAAAGGTAATATAGAAATTTATATTTATTATTAACAGTACATATTAATTTAGTTTTTAAAAATTTATATTTATTATTTTATTTTTAATACAGTACAGTGTTAATTAGTTTCGTCATTTTATTTAGAAACCAAACTTTGCTAATTTAGGGTGTTCTTGTGTTTAAATAAAACTTCTGTGCAATACTATATCAATCCTCATCTCCACGACTTCTGTCCAATGCTTGTGAATCTATATTAAATGACGACAATTATTCAGTAAACCGCCCGATGTTAACTTGTGAAAGTTGGATTTGCTGAGTTATGGTGATGATTGGTATGTACAATGTAGAGTATAATGAAGAAATCAATCAGTTCAAATTTTGATACACGTTATAAGTAATAAAATAAAATTTTAAATAAATAATATGAAGTTATATTAAGCATTTTATGAATTATTAGTTGCGCATTATTGTAAGCATAAGGATCATTCAAATAGAAAGGTAACAAAATGCGAAACCTTTTGATATATTAAGATAATTAAAATTATTCTTCATAACTATCAAGATTGTTATTCAACTAAACCCATTTTAGATCGCTTTTTGGTATATGCAATTTACCAAACTCGTCTGCAAATTCAAAATCTTTTTTATATAAGGAGCTCATTTTGGCATGAATATCCAGTACGCAAACTCCGCAAGAAATAATTTTTCATTAGATCTTATATTAATGAATTACAGCTGTAAGAAAATTAAGTGATTTTTAGGGTAGCTATCAGATAAATATAATTGTTTGATTAATCGTAATGAGCTCACAAATTGACAAAACTGCTACAACTGCGTGTCCCACTTTCGTTTAGGCTACTCTATAACAGCAGTACCATCGACTACAAGTTGACCAAAAGTATTTTTTGAACCTTAATTATGAAATGTTAGACAATTCTGGGACAAAATAGAACCGTGTTGTTTAACTGAAGGAGACCTTTTGACACCTTTTAATTTGAATGAGCCTTATGTATTTGTTTGAATGAATGTTATTATAAAATTATAAATTTTATATAAATCCAACGCTTAAATGTCTGAAATCCATTTTATTATACTATGAAAATCTAATTTATTAAAACGCAAATAATAAATTCTTTTTAACTGTTAATGAAAATTAAAACGGTGGCTAGTATTTAACTAGCGATCTGCCAAAGACCAGAAACTGCTTTTATTTCAAAATATATTTTACATGAAGGGGAATGAATCAAGTGAAATTGCCTTTATATTCAAACCCTCGTTTGTTACCTTCGAATTAAAATATATAATGCTTATGTTATGAAGAAAGAAACATTATTATGCACTTAAATTATACTTTGGTGAAATATGGAAATCAAATATAATGAAACTTACAATGTTTCATATAGAAAATGGAAATTGGTGAATAACGTATTTTCCATGTCTCTCTTGTAACTATTAGTTAAGGATTTCATGTTGATCGTGTAAAATACTCTCTTATTAGTTTCAATTGAAATATTTTCCACTATTATATTTAATTTCTAAATGCTACTGATTTCGGAAAATACAATAAACAGTATTCTATTCTTAGAATAATAAAATATCTGTAGAATTCGTATTAATAAAAAAATCATTTCTGAAGGAAAATCTTTCGAAGAAGTGCGGTTATGTTCATAAATTAATTACATTATACCACATTCTAATATTTTGAAGAATTTAAAGACTAATCTATTGATAATAAATGCGTTTATGTCTTTATTAATTAACACAATGGAATAATCATTTTCAGTAAAGGCTTGAAAACAGGTTTAGAAATGAATAAAATATTATGAATCTAAAATTCTGACTAAATATTATCATTTCTGAAGCATGGTGTTTGAAAACAGATTGCATGACTAAATACTTTTAAGACTGAATTCAGTCATTTCACAGTTTCCTGATTATAATTTTCTGATTCCAGTATGTCATTTTGTTCACTTGAATTCCATGGTTCCGCTTCTAGAAAGAAATAATGTAAGATGCGATTCTAGATTATATCAGTTTTGTTATTGCTGTTACTTATCCTCACTTGTCTGACAGTAACATCAGCCCAAGCCCACGAAATTTTTCGTGGCAAGGAGTGAAAGATACGCATGTCGTTGGAAACAGACTTGAGCACCTTATAGGTGACAGTGCGATTTAGCTCATTTTCGTCCCCCCCCCCAGTTTTGATGAACTGGCTCGGACGGGTCCGAAGGTCTCCCATTCCATTTCTCTTCCACCAAACCACACGAGAGGACTTTCGGCTCCCCGCATATTTAGACTGCCGCTATGCCGCACCGACACTACATACATACCTACTCCGGTACTCGAACCCGGGTCTTTAGGCACGGTATTCAGTGACGTTAAGCACTATACCGTTTGGGCTGCATAGCAGTTTTGATTTTGTGAAATGTTTTAATGAAAGTATTAAAAGAAATTACTTGATTGCATGTGTCTCCTAAGGAAAAAACCTGCCAATGGAAAGAATGTTTTACGTTTTAAATATGTTACACTGTGAAAGAAAATTCATACTGCCATGATGTAAATTACTTGGGATAAAGTTAAACACAGTTTTCAGATACGGTATACAAATATTTCTAGAGAGAATTATACAGCTCATGTAAATCTCTAAAATTATAGCATATGGAGAAAACATGGCAACTTAAGTAAGGAGCTTAAATATCCATTTGCAGAAATTCTAACATTTCAAATATTTTCCATGACGCCCTGTTGCCCAGGTGCTAGGGCAATTGGCTGCCATGAGGGATTTGAATGCTGAAGCATGAATTTTCTTAAACGAATAGTGTATTTGCGGTCTGAGGCATTTTAAATATTGTAGAATAGAAAAGTCTTTACTAGGTCTTTCTCTGTTTTTATGGAGGTAACAATAGAGGGTTAAGATAACATCAAATCCTCTTTCAAGGGAATTAACCTTCAAAACCACGACGGAGCTGAGGAAATTTGTACTGTCGCCCATAAAGTGCCCTGGTCCCTAGCCAACGACAAGCGCAACCTTTAAATCTTGTCCACGATAAAATTTGTGAATATAATCTAAATTTAGGGTCAGGTGTATTAGAAAAACAAACAACACAATTTTTTGATTATATTATAAATTTTATATGGCCTCATAAATCACTTCACATTCATTTATAAAGAAGAAGTAGTCAGTAGAGAAAATACTTATCAATTTCTTTATAAAAAGGCAAGGTTTAAAATTTTAATTGTGTCAACTTTTATTAAAATGTATTTTAGGGCCAAAATGTTATCATTTTGATAGCCTATATTTTCTCATTAAGTTCTCGACTGGAACAATGGTTCTTTGCTATTCGTTCAAGAAATATTTAATAATGAGTATGTATGAAATGTCTGAAATTATACAGAATTATATTTATAAATGGCACAAAAACTCAATATTTTTAAACTGTCAGCATTCAAAATTTTAATTACTTGTCTAATACATTTTTAAATATAATTTTTCTGCTGAAATCTAAACGGTTGTGTATTAAATATCCCCAAACCCTCGGTTTATAAAGATATGATATTTATGAAGTCCATTACTGAAAGTCTTATTCCTCATATAGATCGACACTATTGGTTAAATTATACATATTTTCGATTCCAGATAAGTGTTAGCAGTATAGTTTAGTTCACCTAAACTTAAAAGTTTTAAAGACTTCAGTTCTAATTATCAAAATGGGAAATATAGGTTCTTTCCAAAGTTTTAATTTCTTCTCGTGTTGTCACATTATTTTGCCAAAAAATATTTGATAGAGAAGATGATAAGTAAAAATCATTCTTTACAAAATTTATACTTTCAGAATTGCATAAATTCTAAGGCACAATTAAAAAAATTGTAAAATCCTTGTTTACAGAATAGGTAGTTCTTTCAATTCATGTAGGTAGCAAATTTATAAAATATACATTTATATATATAATATTTACTCAAAGTATAGGGGAAAGGTATTAATATATAAAATTTATTAAATATGCACTATTGGAAGTAAAATATGGTTACTAGGAATTTCTAAATGGAAATCCTTTACTAAATTACCCGCATAATTTAAAAGTATTGCCGCTAATCTCTGTCTAATATGTTAATAAATGGTGCCCTACATTCCACAGATTATTCCGTTGTTTTCCTCTTAAAGTGCGTCTGTTAAAAGGTATTTGTGTCTTTATTATTTTTGAATTTTCTCTCTAGAAGCAAAGTATGATCAGTATGAATGTTATATATGAGAAGATTAAAGGATTATGATATTGTACTGAAATATAAAAGTGTACAATGTGTGTTATGTCTTACAAATTTTCGCGGGTTTTATGAAACTTGTTACCCAGTTGAAGCATTAAAATGTTTTTTTCAATAAAATTGTGTCTTTGTGTTTTACTTATTTTTTATATAAATTTTCAGCATATGTATGTTCAATAATAAGCATTAAAACTACCTAAATTTTTATTTAGTTGGAGATGGTAACATTTATATGATTTACTCACTACACTCAGAACTGGTTCTAAAGGGTGCTGTTAAGAGGTTTACAGCAAAGAGTTTACAAGAACAAAGCAGAGAAAAGTTTAGCTACTTTAAAGTCATACACCCCCACAGCTTGTGATTAACCCTATTTGGGAGTCTGGGGATTTGATTGTGAGTACTGTTAATAAAATCCAGATAATGCAAAGTATTTCCCTTCGCCAAATTCCTAGAGCGCGATGGTTCCATACGAAGACTAAAGTTTATGAAGAGATCTACATTAAAAGATTTTCAATGCACCTGGCAAAAATTGCCAAAATGTTTTATGAAAAATATCAATTATGCTGAAAATAATTCCATTCCAATGTTAGGTTGTGACCCAAGTCATGACAAAAACAGGCGCAGACCTGATGCAGTTTTAAGAAACCTAAGCTAATTAATACTTACACTACTTCGGCCAAATTATTTAAAAATTGTATTGTAATGAAAAGAGCTCCCTTATGTCCGTGATCAAGTTATGACACTTTTGCTTTGGGTTTGCTTTAAGATAGTTAACG